CCTTTTGCCCCTCTGCCAGCCATATGTTTCGGGTCGGGGTGTGAGCCACGTTGGAGATAAGCTTCACCCATGCAATAGCCGCATCATTGGCTCAGATAGTACAGCGCGCGCCCGGGACGCCGATGGTTGTCGGTTCAAATACTGACCGAGCCTAATTTTTCCTATGTAGTAGATTGCGGCGCGGGGACCAAGGGTTAGTACAAAAGACCAGCCGACATGGGGAGGTGGACTTGACCGCCTACTCAGCAGCCCCCCCCCCCTTGCCAAAAAAACAAAACAAAACGAAATGTTCGCCCCGATCAGGACTCGATCCCTGGGCCGTGGGTGTCTTGCGCACGCCCCAGCGCGCTCGCCACTCGGCTGTCGGCTCCACTTGTCAGCAGTGAGTTCAGAACTCGGTCCTGCTCTACGAGTCTTGGTCTCCCGGGTTGCACGCGTTCAGGTCGGGTCAAGTCCACCTCCTCGACGCGCTGCAGCCCGGGTCGACTCCTGGCCAGAAACAAGGAAAAGTGCCAGTAAAAGAGCCCCCCGGGCGCGAGGAGGTTAGGTTAGGCTAGCGGAGCGTGCATTTATTGGCCTTTTTGTCAAGATTTCGACCCGGGCTGCAGCGCGTCGAGGAGGTGGACTTGACTCGATCTAAACGCGTGCAACACGTCTGATCAACACCCGTAAAGAAGGACTGAGTTCTGACGTTGGCGTCCACAGAAGCAGGCGACAGCTGAGTGGCGAGCGCGCTGAGGTATGGCCCGGAAGCCGTGGGCTGAGGGATCGAATCCCAGCCGTAGAACTTTTTTTCCGCTCTGCCCGGCAACATGCGCATCTCGGCTGTCGCTGACTCCCAAAGACATGACCAACAGAGCACGAAAAAAAAGTTCTACGGCAGGGATTCGATCCCTCAGCCGACGGCTTCCGGGCCATACCTCAGCGCGCTCGCCACTCAGCTGTCGCCTGCTTCTGTGGACGCCAACGTCAGAACTCAGTCCTTCTTTACGGGTGTTGATCAGACGTGTTGCACGCGTTCAGATCGAGTCAAGTCCACCTCCTCGACGCGCTGCAGCCCGGGTCGAAATCTTGACAAAAAGGCCAATAAATGCACGCTCCGCTAGCCTAACCTAACCTCCTCGCGCCCGGGGGGCTCTTTTACTGGCACTTTTCCTTGTTTCTGGCCAGGAGTCGACCCGGGCTGCAGCGCGTCGAGGAGGTGGACTTGACCCGACCTGAACGCGTGCAACCCGGGAGACCAAGACTCGTAGAGCAGGACCGAGTTCTGAACTCACTGCTGACAAGTGGAGCCGACAGCCGAGTGGCGAGCGCGCTGGGGCGAGGTGCGCAAGACACCCACGGCCCAGGGATCGAGTCCTGATCGGGGCGAACATTTCGTTTTGTTTTGTTTTTTTGGCAAGGGGGGGGGGGCTGCTGAGTAGGCGGTCAAGTCCACCTCCCCATGTCGGCTGGTCTTTTGTACTAACCCTTGGTCCCCGCGCCGCAATCTACTACATAGGAAAAATTAGGCTCGGTCAGTATTTGAACCGACAACCATCGGCGTCCCGGGCGCGCGCTGTACTATCTGAGCCAATGATGCGGCTATTGCATGGGTGAAGCTTATCTCCAACGTGGCTCACACCCCGACCCGAAACATATGGCTGGCAGAGGGGCAAAAGGATTCCGTCGACCAGATTCGAACCAGCGACTGTTTGCGTACCGGCCCATCACATCAGGTGTCGCACGGCTGTAAAGTCATGGCCAGCGGAGCGCGAAAAATATCACCTGGCCGGGATTCGAACCAGCGACTAGATTCATACCGGGCCCGGGCGCTACCGCTTCGGCTACGACGGAACGATACAGAGTGCAACTTTCGGGGGCATCCAGATCTCAGCTGTGACTGACGCTCGAAGACACTTGGCCATGCAGCAGAGCAGGAAAAATGATAGCGGACGGGATTCGAACTACCGACCATCCTCACGATCTGCCAACGATCACGCTTCAACACGTTCGGCTCCCAGCTTGCTCCTCCGGGGTGGAGGTCTGAGCTGGGTCCTGCCAAACGGGAGACAAAAAACGAAAAAAAAAAGAAAAAGAAAAAAAAAATACCCCGCCCTGGAGTTGATCTTAGGGCCGACAATTTTGGTTTAGATGAAGCTGCATGCGGTCATGTCGACTGAAGCTAGAACTGTTTGTTCAGCTACAAAAGGGGCGTGTGGCTGGTGGCGTCGGACATCGTATACTGCCCCATATGTGTCCACATTTTTGTGTCCAAAAACAGGGACGTGTAATACCACTTGTCACCGCGACACGACTTGTCGCTTGGACGCCTGCGAGGTAGGCAACGGCTTCTCTCTAAGGCGTCTGTCGTGACGGGCACTTTGGGTTTAGGCTCCTGTTGACCAGAAACAGTAAGACCCACGTCAGTGTTGACATATAGGTTTTCGGTCCCCAGGCTCATAAATCCTTTCTCAAGCTAAAAAGTGCGACGCCGTGTCAGTCTTGGCGTGGGTCGATGATTGTCGCTGGAAACGCCTGGAGGGTAGGAATGTTTTCCTGAATCGGACCCACGTGCCGCGGCCCCCTGTCCCGCCGAGCGCATGGACAAGGCGAGAGCTTCTGGGAGGCATTGATACCTTTCGTTTTCGCTTTATTTCTTAAGCAATGATATCATTGCTGAAAAATGTCCATGGAACGAGTGGAATTTTATCACATGATGGCACAATATTCGAGGGCATTTTTTTTGTTCGTGTTTCAATCAGAGAAGAAAAATGTTCAGAGGGTTGCCCCTTGAGGTGAGCGCTCTGCTCGGGAAAGGGGGGGAGGGGGGGGGGGCGTGCCTCGTCGTGCTGTGCACGCTCTGCAGTCTGCACCGCCCGGACCGTCGGGAGACGACCTTGCCAAGGCTGCACCACTACTGCAGTCCTGCATGCAGTCGTGCTCGTGAGCTCGTGCTCGACAGTCTCCTTGCTGCGTGCGCGAGTTATTCGGGGGGGG